GGGGTGGTGTCATTATGAGTCGACATCATCTCAGTGACTTTGGTTTTGTTGTTTGATCTCATTATCAAGCCACTCAGCTTTTAAGACTATATTGAAGACCTGCCCCCATGGTTACAGAGTCATAGTTACTAATTAGAGTAATTCAGTGGATGATTAATCTAAATAGAATACCGTTATGCAGCATATCTCACCACCTTCCTCACCAGGGTAACATGAAGAACTTTGTCAAATGCTTTGACAAACTCACTAAACTATGCTGTCATTTCCCTGATCGGCTTTAGTAGTAAACTTACAAAAAGTAAAGTGCATTTGTCATATCTTCTTATTAAATTTGCATCGACTATAAATTTTTTAAATGATGAAAATTTGTCTGTTGAATAATTATGAATTTTAAATGAACATAAATTCCATGGTACCAGGATATAATTTTCACAACTTCTGCATTTCGGAGAGGGGGAGTAAATTGAGACATTTGTCTATCAATTCCCATAATACTGGCAACAATCTCACAGTCACTAATACCACAAAGGTCTTAAAGATATCTGCAAGTTATAAATCATGTGAATCTGGACATTTTAATTCATTTAATTTGGTTAACTATTATTCTTGGCCTTGTATGTTGCTGTTCTATCATTTCTAAAGATCATTCTACTTTGGTTGAAAAGGCAGACATTGATTACACGGTTCTACCATCTCATTGTCGTCTGATACCATGAGACGCTCTTGAACCAGTAGGAGATTTAATTTTGATCTGAGTATATAACGTATGAAATATTCTCACCTCAAAGCTTTTGCTAATTCCTTCACCTTCACTGTTCTTCCTCCAGATTTTTCACTGCTCCATCTTTGGCATTATTCAGGTCTTGGTTCAAATGGTGTCTCCATAGAAAGGCCTTGGCTGAACTTTTCATCTAAAATAATGTCCATTAACCACTATTATTTTTTCTCTTAACCTATTTTCATTCTCTTATAGCATTTTGACTACCTGACATAACCTGTAGAGATGGCGTAGATAAGCTATGAATAGATTTAAAATGAAGAATGATTCCCTTCTCCACTATCATGCAACCTTCATTTCTAGCTCACTATCCCTCAGCACCTAGAACAATGTTTGACATATAGCAGATACTCAATGAATATTTTTCCAGTTTATAAGTTAATTAAATTGTTATTAGCTTCAATATTGTATGCATGAAAGCTCATGAGAAGATGAAATGTAAAGATAATGGAATTTTCCTCTAACTTTTGAAAGCTCCTTGTATTACCTTGCATTATACTGAACTCTTAGACTTTTAATATATTTATATATTTGGTCATTTCTCAGACTCTGCCCCATTTCTTCTATTTTGTACCAATAATAGAAAGTCAAAGAGTGCCTATAAATTAGGTTTACTGCCATAAAGTAGCCCTTTGTCTTTTCCTCCAAGGTGAGTATCAAAGAATGATGACGTCATTGATTTTCTTATACCACTAGCCTCTGTGCATTCATTTATCGCTTATATCTCTTCCTGGTTCCAAAAAGCTTCTGATGTATCTTAGGATAATCCTCTTAACAGTAACTGTAACAGTCAAGTAATGAAGAGGCAAAGGACAGATGAAAGGAATTTATATCAGAAATCTTAAGCTAACTTAAGTAACTTCAAATGAATGTCAATTTTATGTATTTCCTGGTAGTCAAAGCTATAACAAGGTGATGGCTGCATATATTTCTGTAGGCATTAAAAGGAGACACACGATTCTAAGAAAAATTGTCTTTCATTACTTTTGAGTACTGTAAATGACTTGAGTCTTTCCAGAAATGCTTTCTTAAGCAACTTAATAAGAAATAACAGAAAGGCCAAAAGTCTTAATTGGTGCTTTTTAATCTGTCTTCAAGGAAAAAATTTGAAATCAAACAAAAGTTTTTCTTATGTAAATCATTTTATATAAACGTATTTTCATGTTTTGTGAATGCTAAATAATAAGTTTTTTTAGAGACCTAGAGCCCTTTATTCATTAAAATTATATTTTCACAAATTTAATAATTCAATTAAAATATTTATTTAA